AATCAATCATACCTATTCTCTGTATGATAAAGTCTCCATGAAACTCCCAAGTGCAGGTTCTGAGAGCTTCTGGGTAGGTGAGCACCTGGAGGTGCCAGGGTTGGGGGGCGCACGCAGAAAGAGCAGGGAGGCTCCATACCCCTTCCCACACACCTTGCCTTGTGCATCTCTTCCCTCTGCTCGTTCCCGAATTCTATCCTCTTATAATAAACTGGTAATCTAAGGTAACTGCTTTCCTGAGTTCTGGGAGCTGCTTTAGCAAATTATCCAACCTGAGGGGGCCATGGGAACCTCTGACTTATAGCCAGTTAGTCAGAAGCAATCTTGAGACTGGCATATAAGGAGTGGGGCAGTCTCTAGGTCTGCACTAGCCCCTGGCAGATAGTGTCCAATTTGAATTGAATTGTATGACACCTTGTTGGTGTTGGCGATTTGGAGCATTGCTTGGGGGGGGGGGGGGGGGGGGGGACCCAACACATCTGGTATACTCACACATCTGGTGAGTGAGTAAAAGCAAATACGGTGTGTTTTTCCTTAGACAAGGCAAGAGGAGAGCATTTGCCATCAAGTGACTGTTGCTGGTTGCAGTCAGAGCTAAGCCAGTAATGGGAATAGCATCACCAACTAACAAAGCCACTCACATCACCTTTACCTCAGTGCTCAACTTTGGCTGCACATTATCACTAGAAAGCTTTTGACAAGTCTGATCCATGGGCTACACCCCAGACCAATTAAATCAGAATCTCTGGCGGTGGGGTCTAGTATTTTTTTTTAAAGTTTCCCACCACCAGTGGGAATGCAAATTGGTGCAGCCACTATGGAAAATTGTGTGGCAGTTCCTCAAAAAATTAAAAATAGAAGCACCTTACAATCCAGCAATTCCACTTCTTGGTATTTATCTGAAGAAAATTAAAATACTAACTCAAAAAGATATATGCAGGCGCGCACACACACACACACACACACACACAGGGAATATTATTCTGCCATAAAAAAAAAGAATGAAATCTTGCCATTTGAGACAACATGGATGGACCATGATGGCATTATGCTAAGTGAAATAAATCAGACAGAGAAAGACAAATACCATATGCTCCTACTTACATCTGGAATCTTAGAAACAAACAACAAAACAGAACACCAAAACCAAGCTCATAGATAAGAGAACAGATTGGGGTTACCAGAGGCAAGGGCTGAGGAGGTAGGTGCAATGAGTGAAGGGGGTCAAAAGGTACAGGATTCCAGTTATAAAGTAAGTCATGAGGACATAACATACAACATATAGTTGTATAGTTAATAACTATACGACTATAGTTAATAATACTGTATTGCATATTTCAAAGTTACTAAGAATAGATCTTGAAAGTTCTCATCACACACACAAGTTTCCCAGGTATATTAGCTTTCTATTACTGCTGTAATGATTTACCACAAACTTACTGGCTTAAAACAAAATACATTTATTATCTTATTCATCTATAGTGCAACAGTCCAAAAGAGGTCTCAGTGGGCTAAAATCAAGGTGTTGGCAGATTTGCATTCCTCACTGGAGGCTCTAAGGGATACTCAGTTCTCTCTTTTCCAGCTTCTAGAGGCTAAGTTCTTTCCATCTTCAAAGCCAACAACCTTTAGTTGAGTCTTTCTCATATGGCATCAGTCTGACATTGACTTCTCTGCTTCCTCTCCCAGGTTTCAAGACCCTTGTGATTGTGTTTGGCCCACCCAGATAATCAAGAATAATTTCCTATTAGTCGACTTACAGTATCAAATGCATCTGCCACATTACTTCCCCTTTGCCACGTAATGTAACATCTTCATAGGTTATGAAGATTAGGACATGGACATACGTGGGGACCATTTTTACCAGATCAGATGACTCCAATGTGAAGCTGAGAGCTACTGGGTTACCCATACATTGGCTCAAGGAGTGGCCCAGTTAGCAAGTTGAGCCATGATGGAAGATTGGAGGCACACTGAAGAATTGCTGTGCCGGGGAGCATGAAGAAGTGGCAATAGCAGCCTCACCAGTTTTACAGTGTTGCAGAACTCGTCTTGCAGGAAGGGGAGGGTTGTTATGTGATTTATCATCACTCAGCCTCTGATGGTCCTGGGAAGTTGAATTGTACACTACCCAGGGGCACCTGGGTGGTTCAGTTGGTTAAGTGTCCAACTGTTGGTTGACTCTCAATTTCAGCTCAGGTCATGATCTCAGTCCTAAGATCCAGCCTCTGCATTGGGAGTGGAGCCTGCCTGAGATTCTCTCCATCTCCCTCTGCCCCTTCCCTGCAAGCAGGAATGCACACACGATCTCCCTCTCAAGAAAGAAAGAAAAGAAAGAAAAGAAAGAAAGAAAGAAAAGAAAAAGAAAGAAAGAAAGAAAGAAAGAAAGAAAGAAAGAAAGAGAAAGAAAGAAAAGGAAAGAAAGAAAGAAAGAAAGAGAAAGAAAGAAAGAAAGAAAAAGAAAAAGAAAAAGAAAAAGAAAGAAAGAAAGAAAGAAAGAAAGAAAGAAAGAAAGAAAGACAGACAGACATTATACATTATTCCAAAGATTGTGGGACCGTCTCCACTCAGGAGTAGCCATTACAAAAAATGTAGATCATAACACAAAATGGGAATTTAACAGACTTTTAAGACTGGTAGCTATCAGCTTGCTCTTTTTTTCCCTCCATGCTTTATTTTATATTTGAGAGGGAGACAGAGCATAAGCAGGGGAGGGGCAGAGGGATAGAGACAGAATCTGAAGCAGGCTCCAGGCTCTGCATTGTCAGCACGGGACTCACGAGCTGTGAGATCATGATCGGAGCTGAAGTCAGCAGCTTAACCAATTGAACCACCCAGGCGCCCCAGCTTGCTTCTTGTGTTATGCTCACTCAGAGCTGGGCATACACCCCAGAGTCTCAAGTGCTCTGCAGCCTTTCCCCTAGAGTGGAAGATGCAAATTACCTGTCCATGGGTTGAATAGAACTTGAAGATACTTCCTGACTGGCCAATGTTTTAATAGTCACACACATAGACACATTCAGGATTTCTGCTTTCCTTGAAAGACCTAGGATGCTGGCGTAGCACTCCAGAACAGCCCTCACCTCACAAGAGGTGCCTTTTGATGAGGGACTTATATTCTCTGCTTTGCTGTGGGCTTCATTCTGGCCTTTATGTTTTACACCTTACTTCACGTTCATGTTACTTGCCTAGTCTGGGAGGTGTTTGAGTTCACAGGCATTGCTCCACTCCAGAATTCATGTGCCTAAAGTTAGGCAAAATTCTCATAAAGACCCTTCTGCATGTTGTCCACATAAAAGTGAAGAGCTCTTAGATGTTAACTAGACTTATTGTGATCATTTTGCAACATACACAAACTGTAGGGGCGCCTGGGTAGCTCAATGAGTTGAGCGTCTGACTTCGGCTCAGGTCATGATCTCACGGTTCGTGGGCTCGAGCCCAGTGTAGGGCTCTGTGCTGACAGCTAGCTCAGAGCCTGGAGCCCGCTTCTGATTGTGTCTCCCTCTTTCTCCGACCCTCCCCTGTTCACACTGTCTCTCTCTCTCTCAGAAATAAATTTAAAAAAAACATTAAAAACAACATACACAAACTGTAATTTCTGCCCACTGGTGTTTCTTCAGCCTTTGGAGGCACGCATCACTGCCTGACTCTTCTTTTACAGCCACAGACTTCCCCAGCTTTTAAGACAACCATCGGCACACCTGCAGGCCTTTTCCCATCTCCAAGGAGGCTTCTCTCCACTGAGCCTGCCTAACTAACTCCCCAGACTCTCCTCAGGTATAGCGGAGACGTCATCTTCACACTGCTAATTCCCTAGTTTGGGTGCACTGCCCGAATGAGCTGGAGAGGACTGAAGGGCAGTCAGACTAGACCCTTTGACTCACATCCTGTTCCTCTATCACCTATCCTAACACCGCAGGAACTTAGAGTAGAAAGCAATGGAGGATTCCCAAACCGGGCCCTTTGAGGTACAGGGACATGACACAGCCTTCCCTTTCCATGGCTCTGGGGTAGATCATCCCCTAAGGAACACCAAGTTTTTGTAAAGGGCAAAATCCAAAAACTCTACTCTGTCCTCACATCCTTCACTCAATGGGCTGACACAATTTTATATGGATGACACCCCGTCTTTGAAACATGCTTCACCTCAAGAGGTTCAAGTCCATTTTAAAGGGCCTGTGAAATAAGCTGGGGTGGTGGAGGGTGACAAGGTTTATTTTCCATGGCACTGCTGCTCATTAGGTCAGCCTTGGCATAATTAGGAGAGATGAAGTTCAAGCCAATCTCAGAACTGCTGGTCTTACAGTTGTACAAGTTCGATGCTTCTGGCTCTAGTGAGATTTGGGGTTAAATGTAAGCTCTGGCTTAACTTTCCTTTATCTTATTAAATAAGACACCTTACGTAAATCACTTAGGAAGTTATTGGAACATGTTAATTTTTATTGCTAATCCATGTTTTCTGGCCATTCTTAAATCACCTTTCTTTCCACCACAGCTCTCTATGCCGGGTCCCACATGTAGCTGTCACTCAATAAAGACTGGAGACTTTAGTCGGCTGTCTCTGACATGCACAGTTATGGGGGCCACTTATGTCCACCCTTTCCACTGAAAACAGAACGAACAGCTTAAGCTACAAGGTTTGGGTAGCTGGGGAAAGCGGCTAAGTACTAAAGCAGGTTAGCAGATTCTTAAAACGGGATCACGTCAGCAGCAGTTCCATCGGAGGGAGGCAGAGTAGATGTTCCCTTAAATTTCTTAAATTCTATGGGAGTCCTGCTCATTTTAGTCTTTTGGCACAGAATGCTGTGCTATCTCACTGGAAATCATTCCTACAGAACCAATAGGAAGATAAGGCAAAAGCAAACCAGCAATCAAAGTTGATCGTCTTCCATCCTAAGGAGTTTGGTGTATAGTCATTAAGGCATCACAGGGAATCCTGCTCAAGGACACAGTACAGGGAGCAGAGGGGATCAACCCAAGTACTACAAGAGAGGACACAATGGGAAGGACATTTTTTATTTTCCCAGATCTTCAGGCAACCTTGCCAAGCTGGAGGTCGTGTGCAGCTGCGTATGAAACCAAGAAAAATATGAGGCTTAAAAAATATTGTGCATTGTACCTCTTCGGTCTCTCGCAGGCCAGGAGCCCAAGGTCAGTCTGGCAGGAAGCTGAGCAGACTTCCCGGCCTCGGCAATCACACAATCTTCACAGTCTTGAGCATATCTGACAGTACATATGTGTCATCCCAACCCCTCCCTGGCTTCCTCAGGGTCTGCTCCAAGGCCTGGGCCATTTCTAAGAGCTCTGGTGTGGCAAGTTTCTGCTCCAGGTGCAGCTGACAGAACAAGATCTCGTTTACTTCACCTTCAATTTGCCGGACATACAGGAGAGGGAATACCGCCTTGAGCCCGCTCAGCACGGAGTCCTTCAGCCCCAAGTCTCGGCACACAAGGTTGAGGATAAAGACACCTAGGGTGTAAGAAGGAAAGAGTCATGTCCTGCAGATCAGGGGACACGCTGGAGACAAGGTTCCACTCTTAGGAATTTACCACTTCCTGCCCCTGGTACACTGGTGGGCTAAAAAAAAAACACAAATGCTTGGAGTTTGCAGAGAATACACCACATAAAGAGAGACAGAAAGAGAAGTGTGTGGGGGAATATGTGAACTATGAGAAAACTTCAAGCTAATTTCTTCCTCTTCTATGCTCATAACAAATTATTTTACCATTCTCCATGCCTCAGTTTCTCAAAGAATTGCTTTGAGAAAGAACGAATACTCCCAAGAAAAAAAATGTACCAGCTCCACAGGGATGTTACATTCTTGACATGTACATTATGGAGTACATGAGAGGGCCAATGTTACCCGAGTTGTGACAATTAAAGTTCCGTGTCCAAGTCGCAGGGACCCAGGCTAGAGCTCCAGCTGTTACACTGTGTCACCTTGGCAAAGTCTCTTTACTTCAGTTTCCTCATTTGGAAATGGGCTGCTGTGAACATTCTGCCTAGTCCAAGCCATATCAAAAGAAATCAAATGGTAGCTACCATGACCAAGCTGCTAGAAATGTGAACTACTACATTCATTTTGTAAAACTGTGTGGCAGCATCTAGGAAACTCGAGCACACATGTGATCTATGTTCTAGCAATCACAAGCCTTCATAGATGCCCAACACACCTGCAAATCTATTTTACCAAAAGGCATCTACTGAAACGTTAAGGTCAGTACTACTTATAAAAGTCCCAAACAGGAAAACAATCCAATACCAACCAACAGAAAATAGAAAATGAATGTGGTAAAGTCACACTATGACACTACACAGCAATATAAAGGAACAACATAAACACAACATCATAGGTGAATCTTGCAAACATCATTTTGAATGAAACAAACACTTAAAGGCTACATTCCATAAGATTCCATTTATATAAACAACAAAAATGGGCAAAACTAAGCTGCGCTGACTTAAGTTGGGATAGTCGTTATCCTTGACAGGAGGATGAGTTACTGAAAGGACGTTAAGAGGTAGACTTTCTGGGGTGCTGGAAATGTTCTGTGTTTGATGAGAATAAATAAGCATGTTCAATTTGGGGCAACTCATTGAGCAACACACTTCTGACATGAGCATTTTTCACTAAAAAGAAAAAAATTTTAAAGGACCCATCCCTCCATCCTCCCTAACCTTTGCTCTTCTTACCTTCAGGAGTCAAGATGCTTTTGACCTTCTGCAGGAAATTCTGGTCCACAAAAGCCGGTGGTGGACAACTCATTCCCAGTGTTGGGTCCTTACTGTCTACGTCAAACATGATGACGTTGTAGTGGGGCCGCACTGGGAAAGAGAAGAAAACAAGTCTTTGCCTAACACCATTTACATTCCTACACCACCTCTCCCCTGTGACCTGTGGTGGCCTCAAGCAGCTCAGAAGGATGATGTGGAGGCTGTGGTTTGCCTGTAAGGGCAATGACGTCACCGTCAGGGGAGTCACTGTCAGTCAGGATTCTCCTGTGAGCACCCCACATGAAAGACAGGGCATTCATTTCATCTTCTTTCACATTTGAAAGCACTTTCCAAAGCCTTCCAAATACATCAGTGGGGTCCACTCTAGCATGATTACTACTTGGTTAAGAGTGTATCAATAGGGGCGCCTGGGTGGCTCAGTCGGTTAAGCGTCCGACTTCAGCTCAGGTCATGATCTCATGATTCGTGGGTTCGAGCCCCACGTCAGACTCTGTGCTGACAGCTAGCTCAGAGCCTGGAGCCTACTTCAGATCCTGTGTCTCCCTCTCTCTCTGACCCTCCCCTACTTACAGTCTCTCTCTCTCTCTCAGAAATAAATAAAAATTAAAAAAAAAAAAGTGTATCTATATAGGAATTTTCAATGTTCTGTTGAACATTAGATTCACCCTGGGAATGTTCTAAATACTTTGAGAACCTTGGCTCCATTCCTGACCAACTAAGTCAAGAAACCTGGATGGAACAGGTGTGAAGGGAGATGGGAAGTTTCTGGTATTTTTCTACAATTCCCACGTAATTCTAAAACATTCAAGAAAAAAAGATTTTGCTAAATGGGTGAGAAAGAATTGATGAATTGGATGCACTCCTTGCTATGCTGGAAATGGTTTTTACAAGGAGTAATCCTGCAATGCTACTGACTGATTTTTAGTAAACTTTGAGACTATGATAACGATTATTCAATAATTAATAAATCACGACATAAGGGGCACCTGAGTGGCTCATTCAGTTAAGCGTCTGACTTCAGCTCAGGTCATGATCTTGTGGTTCATGAGTTCAAGCCCCGCACTGGGCTCTGTGCTGACAAGGCCTGAAGCCTGCTTTGGATTGTGTCTCCATCTCTGTCTGCCCCTCTGTCTCTCTCAAAAGTAAATGAAAATATTTTTAAAAAACTTTTAAGATAAATCTTGATGTAGGACTACTGCATGCCTATTAGTATCCATAGCACAGATCTCATTTTGGTTTCTTAGAGAGCAGAACATGTTGGCTCATCAAAGTCCAAGAACAACCATTACCCACATTTGTAGCACTGAGCCCTCCAACAATCTGGAAGGTGACTGTTAGAGATGACTGCCAGGCTGCTCAACACGAACTGACAGGCAGTCACAATGGCAACTCACCATGCACAAAGTGCCTGCCATAAGCCTGGCACAGTTTTAAATGTTTCTCGTATTGACTATGTTGGCCCCAGCCTCAGACATATAACCTGTGGAACTCGGATTTAGTTCAGTTCAGTTTGCAAGGACTATTAATGCACCATCTATCCATCCCAGCACAAGAGGACTCACCCCAGGCATCCCAGTTTGCCAGACCCCTAGTGGGAGATACTCTAATCCAGTGAGAACCAGAGTACCAGCTATGGAATGGGCAGACCAGGAAGGGTGGGCGGCCCAAGCTCCCCAAGTCCCCTTAGGGCTGAACCAACCTGACTGACCTCTTCCTGAGGGACACATGCTCTGGAGAGCACCAGTCACAGGAGCCTACATGTAAAGTGGCAGAAGGAGCAGAGGAGCAACTGCAGAACATTAAGATGTCTTTTGTCCTTAGTCTGGGATACGAATCATTAAAGCAAGATGGAGCCTTCAGACCATCAGAGTTACCGCCAAGTAGTATCTGTATCAGGGTTTCACATCCTCAGCATTACTGCCATTTGGGGCCAGATAATTCTTTGTTGTGGGTGGCTGTCCTATTTGCGCTCTACTCACTTGCTGCCTGGAGAACCCCTACCCAGTGCTTACAATGACCAAACACACATGTGCAAACACTGCCCAGTGCCCTGCAGGTTTATACTCACTAATCTACCTGAATGCTGTTTGGTTCTGTCTCTGGCTTCACCTCTAGCTGATTTACAAAAACACCCCCCAACACACACCCCACATTTTCTTCCCTTTCTACTCATCTGACTACAGACATTAGGTTTCACGGGAGGGTGAGGAAGTGGCAAGGGCAGAGGGTCAGAAGAGAATCAGGAGATAAGCCCACTGATCTGTTAGCACCACAAGGGCAGAGATGGTGTGAGGTTTTTTTTCATCGTTGTTGTTTTTATTATTTATTCATTTATTTATTCCAGGGGAGAAGAGAGGGTGGGGGAAGGGGAGAGAGAGATGGAGAATCTTATGTAGAATCTTATGCCTGGTGTAGAGTTCAAGGTCAGGCTCGATCTCACAACCATGAGATCATGACCTTAGCCAAAATCAAGAGTCAGACCCTTAAACAACTGAGCCACCCAGGTGACCCAGAAATGACTGTTTCTGGCACAGTGCTGAGCATATGGCTAGCACTCTATATTTACTGAATCAATATGTCAACCAATGAATGAAGAATAGAATAGGTGAAAGACTGGGACGATCCTAATGCTGCTCTCTTACAGAGAATTCTAGAGGCCCTTGCAGGCCTGACAAGCTTGGATTACTCTTCTCTGAACACCCCTTCAATTCTTCACTTGTAGTACCTTCTCTTCCTGCCAGGCTGGAGATATAGTCCAGGCCATCTGCAATGTGGACCTTCATCCGGTCGCTCTGGGAGAAGCCAAACCACTGGGTGGCCACTTCCAACATGGAGGGGTCGATCTCCACAGCGTCAATGCAGGACTTCGGGAAATGATCGTGGACAAACAGGGGGAGACTGCCCCCACCCAGGCCGACCACCAACAATGCCAATGGGGTCTCTGCAATAAAGGAATAAAGCATCATTTTCTATCTGCTCAGGGATAGTTCTGTACCAGCCTCAGGGAGAGTAAAGTGGGGAGCTGGATCATTGGCTCTGCCCAGAGGATACAAGATGTAAAGGCCCAGCTTCTGTCATCCCAGAAATGCAGAGGCCTATCTGACATCTGGCCTCACAATCCTTCCTTTACTAGATCCAGAAGATGAACCAGTACGTGGTTTTTTGGGGTCTCTTCAAGTCCCAAAGCACTCAGCTGACATCATATCAAGAGTGCCTACCATGAGCATTATTTGACTCTCCCTAGGAATTGGGAGGGACAACAGCCAACATCTATCTCACTCATGATCACAAGGCAGTGTAGATGCAATGCCCTCTGCCTGGCTTTCAACTCAAAGGCCACACCTGCCCTCTCAGACACCTCAACCAAGTGAGGGCAATACATCCAAGTTCCAGAAATCACAGGAAAACAAAGGCCCACATCCTAGTCCTAAGTACAGAGAAACCACAGCAAACACAGGGAGACAGAAGAAGACAAGAAAGTAGAAAGAATCACCAAAAGGAGACATTAAACATAGATTGACGTCTGAGGATTAAACCTAAGAACCGACACTCTAGGGACATACATCAACACCGGGACAGGATATTTCAATAAGACATACTCAGGACTCTGGGTGAAGACAGGGACAACCTAGATGGGAACATGAACATTTTCACTACTGTGGTCAGATCCTGCTATTAGTAATAAGGCTATGACTGTACTACCCACAACATGATTTTGCTGTTGTTGTTGTTTACATAAAAATTTAAGAAAGAATTGCATTTGGTGCTCAGATGATGCATTCATTACCTTTTAAAAGCTAGAAATTCTCCTAAAGTAGAAAAGCATTCCTAGAGCCAAGATTTTTAAATGTTCCACATGGTTACAAGAGTAGATACATACGCAATCACTCTGCAAACTGAAATACTTATAATGTGTACTTTATGTATCTCCCCAAATATATGTTATACCTTAATATTTCAAATAAATGAACAAACGATAAAGTTTAGACATTAACACTTGAAGCCATTTCAAGATTACAATTTTGAGTTTGAGAAAAGTTACTGGATGTTTAGGACGTTAGAAGATGGTCAGGAAGAAGAAAGATATGAAGACGCGTGCATTTGCTGATCTGTAATGACCATTGTCAGACCAGTGATGTGTAAGCTGACCCGCCCGGACTGTGGGAGGAGGTACGTCCGGCTTACCTAGGAGCAACTCCGGGCTTCTCAGCAGGGCAAGGCCAGCAATCATTGCTTTGTGGTGTTCACAGCACAGGTAACTCTTGTCAATGGACTGCCCTGGGGCTGCAGGGAGGTCCTCCAGAGTTTCAGCAGGCCGCTGCTTCTTCCTGTCCTTTTTCCGTTTCTTCTGGGCTAAATGGGAGATAGAGATAATGTGGTACTATGCTTAGCACCCTAGTCTCAGGAAAGCAAGGCTTACCAGCAGCATTGAGCTGTAGCTAGCTTGATCCAACTCAGGGAACCCAATTGCTAAATATACACAAATTCTGTGACCTGGCTGACATGTTGGTAGTTTGAAGTCTGACTGTGGTGGCCTTTATTATGACACAGAAATTGTCAAACAGTATACATCAGGGCTTTTTTTCCCTGTTAAACATTTAACACATACCATTGTGTTAAAAAAAAACAGCTGTTAAACATTTAACACACACATTGTGTGCGTCCAATGTGTGTGAGTCCAAAGACTCAGGAAAGGAAAAGTGGCAAAAACACATCCCAAAACCTGGGAAAACTGAACTGAGGAGCCCTAGCCCCTCTGCCCTGAGAACTATAAGGTCAGTAACAGGATGAGTCTATTCACAAATCCTTTTAGAGAACTTAATTACTAATTACGTCCTCTATGACTATGCTACAACTTCTAATTATTTAACACTTATAACAACCTTATAATTCTCTATTAGGCAGATGGAAAAACTGAGAATCTAAAAAGTAAATAATTAACCCCATATCAGTAGGAGGTGCAGACAGAGGGGAACCTGGGACTGCCTGTCTCCAAGGCCTACCATCCGTCTACTGTACCACACAGACAGTAACACACACTGCCCTGCTAGATGAGGAAATCATAAGTGCTCACCAAAGGGAAGAAATCCTATAAAGGCACCACTACTTCCCTCTGGTATTTAGTAAATAGATGCTCATTTTTTACTCTATACATTGATTTTCTAATTGATTACACTGAGCAGTACTGCTTTTATAGTACAAACACACAACTGGCAAACACAGCAATTGAAACAAACTCCTGTTTTCCCCACCAGTGGGAGTTTCTGAGTGACATTTGGGAGACTGCTTAAAAGGAATCCTAGAGGGGCACCTGGGTGTTCCAGTCGGTTAAGCGTCCTTCAGCTCAGGTCATGATCTCACAGTTCGTGGGTTCAAGCCCCGCGTCAGGCTCTGTGCTGACAGCTAGCTCAGAGCCTGGAGCCTGCTTCAGAGTCTGTATCTCCCTCTCTCTCTGTCCCTCCTCTGCTCATGCTGTCTTTCTCTTTCTCTAAGAAATAAAACAATAAATTAAAAAAAAAAAAAGAGGAATCCTAGAGGGCATGGCCTAGATCTTTAGAGTCCAATATTGTAGCCACTAGCCACCTGTGAGGCCACTGAATTGTAAATGTAACTTAATTACAATTAAATAAATTAAAGATTCATTCCTTAGTTACACCAGCCACATTCCACATGCTCAGCAGGAGGGTGGGGTTCACTTACACCCACCATGCTTGTGGCTCCCCTCACAGGGCCTTACTGAATGAATATACAATGCATAAGGAGGAATATGAGAAATAGATAGTCTTTACACTGAAGGCGTTAAAGTGATAATCACATTTTTTTGGTAAATCACCACCCCAGCTCTTATCATTTCAGAGTCAGGCTTTGCTCAAGAATAAAACATACACCTCTATTCTGTTTATTGTCACTTAGACTGAGCCCAGATGGTTAACAGGACAACTTGAAGAGCCATGTGCCTCTGATCACATGTACCCAGGTCTGTCCTACAACTTGCCCAACCTCCCAGCACTTTCTGACCACCCCAAATGGAGTCCATGCCATGACTGCTTGGGTCATGCGTGATGACCCATGCAGTGACCAGTGTGATGACACCTTACCTCTGTGGGACACGTCCTTCAGCAACCTAGCTTCTGACTGCACCACATTCCTGTTGCTGAGGAAGATCAGCCGCCGGAAGTAGCGCTTGTCATCCCCCTGCACATCCTCAACGACGTAGTTGCCACTCAAAGGACTGCAGGCTTGATGCTGAACGGTCCGGACCCCAATGTCCCCACCCACAGACAGAAAGGGCACCTGAAGATGTAACAGAGACGCAGTCAAATACCAGTTCAATTAAGAAACATGAGAAATTTTAATCCTTTCATGGTTTGTGTGTGAGGAATCCTCATACCAAGTTTCTGGGCAGCAAGAACTTCAAAATTTTGCTGTTCTATTAAATAACTTTTCTAGGGCCTTTCATAAAAGGTTTAAGTCACTTTTTTGAAAACAAGCTGAACACATAAAGATCCCCCAAACCATTAGTGAAATACAATTGGTTCTCCTTAAGAAGACAATGAGTCTCCCAGGGCGCCTGGGTGCTCAGACAGTTAGGCATCCAAATCTTGATCTCAGCTCAAGCCATGATCTCACGGTTTGTGGGATCGAGCCCCACGTCAGGCTCCACGCTGACAGCATAGAATCTGCTTGGGATACTCTCTCCCTCTCCCCTGCCCATGTGCATGCGTTCTCTCTCTCTCTCTCTCTCTCTCAAAAATAAGTAAATATATTTTAAAAAAGAAAAAAAAGAAAGACAAAGAAAAACAGGAGTTTTTTTTATAGGAATCCTTAAAAGGACTTTCCATAAAAGCTAGAGGGAATGCAAAGCAGGGGACTAACTATGAAAGAAGGAATCAGAACAGGGATAAAGCAACCATTCCAAGTTTGAAGAAATCTCTCCCTTCCCTCGATTATTCACATCTTTTTCCCCACTTTTCCAAACGAAAAAAAAAATTAAGAGAAAAATGTATTTTCCCCCTAGACTTTTCCATGACCTTTCCCAAACTTTACACCTATTTCTTTTTAATTGCTTTAAATTTTTAATTGATTTATTTATTTTTGAGAAAGAGACAGCACAAGTTGGGGAGAGGCAGAGAGGGAGAGAATCCCAAACAGGCTCCACACCATCAGCACTTCAGCACAAACTCAAACTCACAAACCGTGACATCATGACCTGAGCCAATATTGAGAGTCAGATGTTTAACTGACTGACCAACCCATGCACCCCTATATCTATTTCTTTTGAAAGACTTCCAAGTGAATCCCCAAAGACTGCTGACTCTACAGGGACACAGGCCCTCGAGGGAAGGTTACAAATGAACCTGCTCAAAGGATCTGCGTCTCTGATGGTCATGAACCCCAAAGTCTGCCAGGAAGAATCAAACACACACTCATCTGTAAACACAAGTAAGCCAATGCCAGGCTAGAATGTAGGAGTCTAGGTTCATCTTTTCAGATCTGTTACTACTGCAAAGAGCCTCTGAGTACCTTGGCTTTCCTATCTGTCAAAAATATTCTTTACTAAAATACCTGTAATAAAGTCACCTTTTCACTATCCTGTCTGAGCAGGGTGGAACAAGACAGACAGTATCAACTGATACTGCCATATCACTACTTTGGCAAAAACCTTCAGTTTCCTTACCAGTAAGATACCAGACTAGCAATGGTAATAACCTATGCTGTTTGGCTCTTTTCCATTCTACATTCAGATAATGAGGTTTCTAAGAAGAAAAAAAAAAGAGGGCAAAGAGAAACACAGTCTGAACAATCCACAGTATAAACAGCTGGAGCCCACAAGATGGACAGCATTTCCTCTGTGCCATCTCTGAGGAGACTCAAGGCCCCACAAACGTAGATGCTACCCTGGGTCTTAATAGTCTCAGTAAGAGCAACCGCTCACCTTTCTCTCACTGCCCAGGGCAAAAGAACATAAGCTCTGCCCACTTAGCCCATAGCTGCTGACATGCCCTCCAGGAATAGACGAGGGGCACAGACACGGGTCCTAGCTCCTTCCAAGACACGCTCTGCCTTCCTGGCTTTTCTCAACCGTTAATCCTGCTGCCAATGCTGTTACCTGCTGCTGGGTAGGCATCCCGGCAGGGGCCAGCTCCAGTACTCTGGCTGACAGCTCGGCCTGGATGCTGTCCATGCCTTCATACTGCTGGCCTCGGTGAAGGGCCACTGTGATCAGCCTCCTGAAGCCTGCACTGGCCGCCAGCTGCTTCCGACCCTCCTCCATGCCAAAGAGCCATTCGGTCTCCCGACCCTGGGGGACTGAAAGAGGCACCTGGTGACAGGGAGTCCTGGGAAGAGTTGTTCAAGCCCCAGCCAATAGAAACTACAGGGCAGAGAGTCAGCCCCTGCACAGGACAAGCAACCCTTCCAACTGTGACCCAGTGAGGGCTATCAATTCCCTAGTGCACAATGCCTAGAGAAAAACAACCATCAGACACATGGTAGGTCCCACATGATATGTATATAAGGGGAGGAGAGGCAGGTGCCTAATGCAAAAAAAAAAAACCAGCAGTGATACTGATGCTTGTTACATGCCAAGCATTAGTTCAAGAAATTTACAAACTTTTCATTACTCACAACAGTCTAAGATGCAGGTAGTATTCTTATTCCCATTTTATAAATAAGGAAATTGAGACACAGGCGTTGAGCTATTTGCACAAGTTCACACAGCCACTAAATGGTGAAGCTGGGACTCAAACCCAGGCAGTCCAGCCCCACACACTATGGCTGTATCCACCGTGCTATTATTTGGTCCCATCGGTGGATGGGTAGAATTACGGAATACTTGGGAAAATGGCTCAGTTGTCAGCAAGTTACCAGCATGATGACTTCCACATCTTGCATTCTGTCCAGGATTTCCTATTTCCGAAGGCATTTCCTCATCCTCTCTCTTCTGACCGTTACTGAGCTAATGTGGTATCGCTTACACCCTTCAATAATGATGAAGTTTATAAAGCACTTACCATATGTGAGGCACCATTCTGAGAGATTTTACACTTCTCAAAACTACACAACACAGGTAATCTTACTGGGAGATGAGGAAACTGAGACACAGAAAGGAAAGTAACAACCAAAGTCACACCACCAGGAATAGACTGGGCCAGAACTGAAACCCAGTCACTCCTTTAGCTACTACTCCCTACAGTCTCTTTCTACTCAGCAGAGAAGCACAGGAATGTCCCCAAGTCACACAGCTCACAGGGTACAGAGCTGGGACTCTGTTGCTCCCACCACTCCATGCGACAAACTCCTATCTCTACAATGTGAGACGTGCCTGCACTTACCTGTGCTGCCTCTCTGTCCTCCCTACCAAACCCACACTCACATGTCACCAGGTCTTTCCAAAGGAAGATGTGAAGAATAAGTCTCACATCGAAGTAGGTAGCCAGAGAGCTGCTGCTCCCCCTCCCTCAAGCCCTGGCTCGTCTCACTTCTTGAAGGGCCACCCCTCTGCAAGATAAAACCAGCCAAGCCACACCCACCACCACAGCCCAAGCCCCTCAGAGCCAGCCCCTCCAGGGAAGAGAGGGCGCGATCCCAACTCACTGATGAAAATGGCAAAATGATTGTCCCGCGATGGTTTCACAGTGGGGCTGTCCACCACGTGGAGGGTGTAGCGTGGCTCCCCCGTGGCCCCATCACACAAGTCCAGAGAGACACTCCCCAGCCCGGCCTTGCGGCACAGCCGGCTGCGCAGCCAGGCATACTGCTGCCGCTGCCACACTGCCTCAGCCAGCCGCTCGGCACTCTCCAGCCGTATGGGCTTGCCCTGCTCCTGGGCACACAGCTCAAAGATCTGAAGGGCAGAGCCAGGGCCTGGCCTGAACTTGGTCATGACGAAGGCAAACACAGGCAGGGAGAACCGAGGTTCTGATTCCAACACCTGGTCCTGGCAGCTGGCCACCTGGTGCACCCTCACCATCCACCCCTCCCGAGAGAAGTGACCCACTGCTTTCTTCAGGACGTGAGCCTGAGCCAGGGAGATGCAGAGGTAGCGACCGCCCACCTGCAGGACACGGCCAACCTCAGCCAACATCCTGTCCACTTGTAGCAGGGTCTTCTCCTCCTCGTCTGTCAGGACAGCGTCCAGGGTGCCCTTGTCCAACACCACCTGGAATGAAGCATCGGCAAACTCCATCTGGGTCATGTCCATCTTCAAGAAGCTCATCTGGGGCCGGTGGCTGGCGTTGCGTTCCTTCATCTGCTTGATGACCACCTCACTGATGTCGATGTTCACTATATCCTGATAGCCCATGTCATACAGCTGCTCACTCAGCTCTGAGTTACCGCATCCAATCACCAGCACCTGAGGGAAAAAACCAACAAGATGAAGGTGATCCATGCAAAGGAATGATCTGCAGTACTTAGGGATCAAGTCTTCCCCTGGCTGGTGCAAGTTTTCAATAAGTGCAGTTGTTATGGGCAGGACTGGGCACCGACACACAGGTGATTCTTTTTTTTAATTTAATTTTTTAAAATATTTTATTTATTTCAAAGAGCGAGAGAGAGAGAGAGAGAGAGAGAGAGCGTGAGCAGGAGAGGGTCAGAGAGAGCGAGAGAGGGAGATACAGAATTTGAGACAGGCTCCAGGTTGTAAGCTGGCTGTCAGCACAGAGCCCAACGCGGGGCTCATACCCACAAACCATGAGATCATGACCTGAGGCGAGGCAGACGTTTAACCAACTGAGCCACCCAGGCGCCACAAAACAGAATGATTTAAGGCTCCATCTTGAAACGTTAACAAAAAATTCACAAGTAAAACCCCATTCGACCACAGCAATGAAGTTATGTTGGGTTTTCCATATGGCAAAAACAAATGAATCCTGCCTGTTCTTCTCTCTGAAGCAATTATTTATTACTCAAGAACTGACAGAAAGTCATACAATCAAAATACAGTAGTCAGAGTTCAAATCTCCTGTTTTACCCTATAAAAGCTGGCTGTGGAAAATCCCATTCCAATCACGTCTTCAAGTCCACCTATGGTATTCTGCTATTTTCCAAAGCAACACAGGTTGTTGCTTCTCTCTGAGTAGACCAAACACCCATTGATCCTTGAATTTTCTGGCCAATGTCAACAGGTCTGGAAATGTTTGGTGAGAAGTGCATAAGTCTGGGACTTGACGGGCCTGAGTTTAAACTCCCATGTGACCACTTACTACACGTATGACCTCGGGCGAGAAACTGGATCTCAACGCCTCCGTTTCCGCGTCCTACACTGAATGAACCTGACAGAGTTTATTATTTGACTACAACTACTTAAAGGACGGACGGACACACACACACACACACACACACACCCCACACACACACCCAGCACCTCTGGCACGTAAAGCACCCTCCGCAAACGTTAGTTTCTCCCTTCTCTTTTCCTAATCTCCAGCACAATTCCATCTCTATTAAACCCGTTATTGCATTTACCACTCTTCACTTCTGGAACATGCCCAGGGTTTACGCCTTACGGCTCTTGTTGCTTAAGAGCTGAGCACAGTGCCTGAAATTCTGTGTGCCCACGTGAACGATTTGGCTAACAGATTCGTATGTCAGTAAAGCCAAGGCACTGTCTGCTCTACAGGGACGGACGGTGACAGAAAAGCACAGGGTCTCCCCAGGAGGCCATACCTAGGCTGCACTACTAACGAAGTCACTCTCCCCGTGACGTTGGTAGTTCGGCAGTGAGCTAGGCGCAGGGTGTCTGCTATCTGAAAACCTTTACAAGAACATTTTTAAATTGCCCAACTTCAGCCGGAATGCTGCGGAGAAGCCTGGAAACACGGGCCCACTTGGGGGCCGCACGCCTGTCACTATCCACAAGGCGCAGGAGGAAAGTTACCGCCTCCCACGTTCCCGAGCACGCACTCAGAACGGCCAGGCCGCGCCTACCTTCTCCCTGGGTTTGATGTATTTGTGCAGTACTCCGCACAGCTCCAGGTAGGTTCCGTACCACTCGAAAGCCTTCCTTCCTCGCTGCTGGAAGAACTTCTCCCAATAGTCCACGGAGCCAAACTCCTTGGAGCTCTTCGGTAAGAGGTTCATAGTCTCACCGTCCGCCTGGCTCTGCTCTCCTAGTCCCGCTGAGGTACCATCGGATGCGCTTCCACGCACGCTGGTGCCCGCACCCTCGGTGGAATTCTTTCCCCGACTAACGACCACACTGATTTTTTTGCCCCGCTCAAAACCCAAGGAGATGGCGCTTACACGCCAGCCCCACGCACGACACACTGAAGCAAACACACGGTCACCCGTCCCGCCGGCTGCCCGTGCCAGCCCACGTGCGGAGCCCCTCACACTTGCCACAGATGGGCTTCAGAGCCGGCAAGCACATCCGGGTGCGAGGCGTCGCGATTGGTCGGCCGCCCGACCCTCCCGGCATCTCGATGGGCAGCGCTTTTCGCTCCTGGCATCTCATTGGTTGCGCGTTGCACGCAGCACGCCTGCGGCAGCGTCGCAAGCGCCGAGCGTTTAACTACGCGCCGCAGCAGGGGGCGGGGCCGCGGGCCTGAGGCCGGACGGAAGCGGCGTGGGCATGTGTGAGCACCGCGCGGGGGCGGCCTTCCCGGGTGCCGGCGTTTCGGCCGCCTCTGAGAGCGCGCGGGCGTCCGGGCTGTGTGTTTGCCTTATCTCCTAGCCGGCCCTGCGGCCGCTTCTCAACTTGAAAGGCGGAGCCGAAGGACCCGGGGCGAGAGGAGGAGGCCTCGGAGAAGAAAACCCAGGAGATTAGCGAAAGTGAGGGAAGGAAAGAGTAGAGCCGGAACTCAGCAAAAGAAAGGAG